AGGAGGAGGAGGAGGAGGAGGAGGAGTGGTGGTGGTGGTGATGGTGATGATGCTGTTGCTGCTGCTGCTGATGATGATGAGGAGGAGGAGGAGGAGGAGGAGGAGGAGGAGGAGTGGGTCGTGCAATGCCTCTCGGGCTACACGTACCCAGTGGAGGGCGGAGGAGGAGGAGGAGGAGAAGAAGGAGGAGGATGAGGAGGAGGAGGAGGAGGATTTGGAGGAGGAGGAGGAGGAGGAGGCATGATTCCGTTGGGTCGTGCTTCAGCACGGATCCATTGGGACGCGGAGATATGTTGATGTTGTTGATGACGGTGATGACGTTGATGATGATGTTAATGATGATTATGTTGATGACGATGATGATGATGCTGATGATGATGATGATGATGATGATGATGATGGTGATGATGACGATGCTGATGATGATGATGATTGTGATGGTGATGATGATGTTGATGGTAAGGATGATGATGATGCTGTTGATGGTGATGATGGTGATGGTGATGATGATGGTGATGTTGATGATGATGACACTGATGATGTTGATGATGTTGATGCTGATGATGATCATGATGCTGTTGTTGATGATGTTGATGATGATGAAGATGGTGCTGATGTTGATGATGGTTGTGAGGCTGCTGCTGATGATGATGGTTGTGGTGGTGGTAGTGGTGATGGTGACGATGATGCTGCTGGTGATGATGATGAGGATGAAGAGGAGGAGGAGTAGGAGGAGGAGGAGCGGGTCTTCAATGTCCCTCGGGCTTCACGTATCCATTGGAGGAGGAGGAGGAGGAAGAGGAGGAGGAGGAGGAGGATAAGGAGGAGGAGGAGGAGAAGGAGGACGAAGAGGAGTATGTGGGGTTGGTTCGCGATCCAACCATCGGAGAACGCGCACCTGTGGGCCGTGTCGGCGACAGCGCCAAAGAAAGTCGGCCTGCGTGCCCTGGTCAGCAAGAAGGAGAGGTTCACGAGGAGAAGAGGCGGGATGGAGATAAGGGGAGGGAGGAAGGAGGAGGTGCAGGAAGAGGAGGAGGAGGAGACAGAACATGCCGAGGATGAGGACGAGGAGGAGAAAGAGGGAGGAGAAGAAGGAGGAGGAGCAGGAGGAGGTTAAGACATGCAACGGGGAGGACGAGAAGGAGGAAGAGCAGGATGAGGACGCAGAGAGCGTGGGACGGGCCTCCGCCAGGCGAGAAGGAAATGGCCAGGGCCAAGCTACACGGTATCTCATATGGGGTCCTACCGTCGGAGTAATCCGGGTCTGGCGTCATTTGGCGGCGGATCGAGCTTGGATCCAGTTTGGATTTGACGTCGCAAGTTCAACAAAGCCATGTGCTTGCAACGGAAATACGATGGATCCGACCATGGTTTCATAGGGACCCTGCTTGGCTCAATGATGGATCCGACGTTGCCGATTCGACGATGCTCAGAGGGATCGGGCTTGAATCCATGATGCGCACGACGTTACCAACTCAACGAATCCATGTGTCTTCGCCGGGACCCTGTCGGGATCCACGATGGATCCGACGTTTCCAGGGTGGCCTCGACCGTTGCAAGGATGACCGCCTCGCCGAGTGATGCGGCTTCTGTGCCAAATCTGTCTTGGCACCGGAATCCGAAACGTAAGAACTCATCGCATCTGTCTGCCTGGGGGTCGGAGGCCTGGGGCTGAGATCGCAGAGGAGCGGAGAGCCCCCCACTGGTAAATCGCTTTCGGTTTCGTGTTCGTATCGCGCGTGCGGGCGAGACGAAGCTGCGTGGGCGCGCGAGAGGAATGACCCAGCCGTCGCCAGGGCGATTCGGATGCAGTGGACAGCTCCCCCGCCCCCGGTGGGCGCGCGGTGGCCTGGGGTGTCCCGCCGTGGTGTCTTGTTGTGTCCCATTGGTGTTCCGTTGGTGTCCCGTTGGTGTCCCGTCGGTGTTCCGTCGGCGGTGGGCGGGCGGTGGCGGGGGGTGTCTCGCCTTGGTATCGATAGTGAAGTCGATAGTGAGATCGATAGTGCCATCGCTAGAATTGGATGGATGGACAGCGAGACCAGAAGTGAGATCGACAGTGATGTTGGTTGTGTCATTGAATGTGGGATAAATAGCGAGATCGATAATGAGGTCGATAGTGAGATCGATCGAGGAATCGATAGTGACATCAATAGTGCGATCAAAAGTGAGATCTAGAGTGAGATCTATAGTATAGTGAGATCGATCGAGTGTGATTGATCCTGTGAGGGCGATAGTGGGATCGATCCGGTGAGATCGAAAGCGGGGACGATAGTGACATTACATCGGAGCGCAACACCGTCATCACGCGTCGTCGTTAAATCGGTGGCGAGTCACCAGCACCGTCATCATCACGCCCATCACATTTGCCCGCAGCTGGTTCTTTCCCCCCCACCCCCCAACTTTTCACCTGAAGGGTGGTCGTGTAGGTAGTTGTTCGTCCCCGTTCGATTTGTCATGACCCCAACTCCAAGAACACGCCAGGATACAACAAATAGGCCTCAGAGATGTAGGTTTCTCGTTTCGGAGATAATGCGACGAACCGTTTCTTGACAGCTCGGCGTTTGGTGGACCTTGTTGGGCCACGGGGACGTTAATGAGCAACTCGGGATGAACCGCAGGTCCCCAGGAAGGTGTTTGGACCTCCGGGGTCCACGTTGCAAAGAAAAAGGCGAGGCTGGAGGTCTGGGGAGGAGGGGAAAGGAGGGGGAGCATGGGGGGGGAGGAGAAGGGGGAGGAAGGCGAGGAGGAAAGAGAGGGGGGAGGGGGAGGGAGGCGATGGGATTTCCATGGTTTCCGCCGTACACTGGTGATACAACCAAGCTGAGTTCAGCACTTCGGGGATAAAAAAGCGATCGATCCGATCCAAGCGCTCTCGTATAGCGTTGGAGATGTTTGTGAGCACGGTTTGCTAAGACACCTGAGTTGGGCCTGGCCGAAAGAGCCGCATGTGCAGCAAGACCATATCTTCAAGTTTTGGCGATGAGATCATGCCTGCCGTTGGCGGGCCTATTCTTGTGCCAAGTGGAAGGCCGGACCCTTGATGGCTTGAGGTTTCCTGCCACCCACAGTCGAGAGGGAAGTGAGGACTCCCTTGATCTCCAGGAGGGCCAACGCGATTGGGTAGCCGAGCCCTTACACACGCCATAGAGTGGAGATCCATGCCAAGAAACACTCTGCTTGCCTCCAGGGTGCCTTTGGTTTGTTGGGTTTCGATGGCTTTGCTACGGAAGGTGTGACGTTCTCGCACCAAACATCCACGGACGTCCTGGGGTCTCAGGGTTGGGTTTCTTGTGGACGGTTTCTTGTGTGGTGGAGCCCCTGGTGTACGACCCCTCCACTTCCGGTCGGGGCGTGCGCGGACGCGAAGCATGCAGTTGCCACGGGAGGAGGAGGCGCAGGACGCCTCCGAGCCTCGCGTGGGGGCTCCTCCAGGCGGCGCGCATCCTGTGCGGGGCATGCGGGGCCTGGGTCGAACCGTGGTCTGCTCGCAGCAGACGCCTGCGCACGAGCCTGGCCTTCTTCTCTATCGGGGGCGGGGGATGACTAGGGGGGGTGGATATCATGGCGCGGGCCATGATATCTCCCCAGATTTCACGGCGCCTCTTCTTAATTCAATACGTCCCCGGCCATCCCCCCTGGGCCGCGCACATGCCGCCGGCCATGATTTGGGCCCCCCCTCTTGAACGCCCCCCTCTTGGACGCATATTCTGGGCGATACGTACAAGTGGGCCACACATGTACGGCCCAAGCACCAGCGGAGGAAAAGACACGAGTGTGGCTCTTGCGGCCCCTACACGGCGAAGCCGACTATCGTGGGTGTCGGCGCCCCTTGAAGCGTCCCCGACGACCACTAGAGGGTTCGCCGATGACTCCACGCCCAAAACAGGCAGGCCCAATGGGGCCGTCCCCGAGCAGAGAATTCCCGACCCAGGACTCGACCGAGGGAGGGGGTGAAGCCGCCGTCCAGGACGCGAGCATGATATCCCTCATCCAAGAGCAGAGCACAGGGGAAGCTTTCTTCTCGGCGATCTCCTCATCTACTAACGGCGTTGCCTCAGCTTGTGTTGCCGACCTCTGGTTTGTATCACAGGTCCAGACGTAATGAAGCGTCGTCTCAGTGCACTGGCCGCACGTCCTGGCACACTTCGCTATCGCACAGCTTGGCATAGCAGCACCGACGATGGGTCCAGAAGCCGCCTGCCGCGATCGTGGCCAGGACCTCGGACAATTGAATATCCAAAATGCAGGCAAGAGGTCGATGATGGGTTTCCAGCACTTCGTCCATATCCCCTCCTCATTGCAGCCAGGCGGCCTGCCACCACTGCCCGATGCCCAGAGAAGCTTGTATGTTGTTTAAGAGGGAGATGCCTGATCCAGGCCTACGATCCTTCCTAGAACATCCATTGTGTCCGCTGTGCAAAACGTCGTTCGCCACGTCCCACTCCGTTTGCGAAGCTGGGCCCCTGCGTCGAAAGACAAAGCCTGATCGTGGACATCGGCCCTCGAACGTGACGGCTCCCCTTCGACGGCTCGAGGATCTGCGCGCGATTGACAACAACGGGCCACGCACGCTTGATTGAGCTGCCCAGCGTCGGCCACACGAGCCAGACTGCCAGCCACTGGGCGTCGCATTGCCGAGGGAGCGTAACGCCTGGATCCACGCCAGGCAGACGCAAGGCCGGCAGGTATATAGTTGAGCGGCGATCCTGCCTGGACGAGCCCGTTGCCGCTCCAAGACGCGCCTCTGCGTCAGCATGGCCGTCCCGAGAACTCCGTGCACTCGACGATGTCGTCAAAATCGTTAAAACGAAGAAGAGGACGAGGACGAGGAGAGGAGGAGGACGAGCGGGAGGAGGTGAACGGCGACGATGACAACGACGACCTTCTCTAAAGATTCACACCCAGACCTCTCCCTGGAAACCTCACGGCGACAGCGACGACGACGACGACGACGACGTCGGCGTCGATGACGACGGCGCTCAGTAGCCGCCCCACCGGAGGAGCGCTGCGCGCGGCAGCAGCTGGCGCTCGAGCGGGCGCTCACCGAGCTGGCGCTCAGGCTCGCGCGCCCCCATGGGTCATAGGCCTGTTCTCCGCCGCCACCACCATAAGTTGGATGGGGGGAAAGGAGGAGGAGGAAGAGGAGGAGGAGGAGGAGGAGGAGGACGAGGACGAGGACGAGGACGAGGACGAGGAAGAGGACGAGGAACAGGAGGACAAAGAGGAGGAGGAGGAGGAGGAGGAGGAGGAGGAGGACGAGGAGAAGGAGGAGGAGGACCCCCTCCCCCTCCAACTTATGGCGGTGGTGGTGGAAAAACAGGCCCACCACCATGGGGGGTGCTCTGCCGCGGCCGCCTCGGGGGCTCCTGCTGGGAAATGCGCATGCATGGCTACGGGCGCGTGGATTGCAGCGACGGGCCCATGCTACACAGAGACCGGCGCGCACCGTCGCTAAAAATGGGGCGGCACGGGCGTCCCCCCGCGCCCAGGTGCCAGGGCTCCTTGCCCAACGGTCTTCCTTATCCGAAGCCTTCACCGTAGCGGGGCACATGGCTGAGCAGAGGAGGAGGAGGAGGAGGAGGAGGAGGAGGAGGAGGACCAGTGTAAATCCACGAGTCGTAAACGATGTTGGAATAAACCCTCCCTCCAAGCTTCCTCTTCACAGGCCCGTACAACGGTTCATTTCCATTGAGGAAAACTGCCTCTTTGAAAGGCAACCGTTGGAAGACCCTGAAGCATGCCAAAACATTGTTCTCGGGATTCTAACGCCACGGATCAACCGGCCTGCTGCGCCTTGACAATCCTGAATCGTGCCAGAACGCCGTTCTGGGGATTTCAACGCAGCGAATCAATGTAATTGTTGCACCCGCGTAATCCTGAATCCTTCCATCATACCATTTCTGGCACGTTGATGATGGGAATCCGTGAAACTCGTTCAACTTTTGAAAACGAATGTGCGCCACGCTTGAGCGAGAGACACATATTGAAAAAGAGCCGCCCTCCATCCGCGAAGCTCTTGCATTGAGAACGAATGTGCACCGCGCTAAAGCGAGAGCCGCATTTTGGAAACGAGCCGCCCTCAATCCGTGAAACTCTTGCACATTGTTAAAACCCATGTGCGCCGCGCTAAGGCGAGAGCCACATTTTGAAAACCATCCGCCCTCACGCCGTGAAACTCAGAACGGATGTGCGCCGCGCTGAGGCGAGAGCCACAGTTTGAAAGCCATCCGCCCTTAAGCCGTGAAACTGCTGCAAATGTTTAAAACGAATGTGCGCCGCGCTGAGGTGAGAGCCACATTTTGAAAACCACCCGCCCGCCATCTGTGAAAGTGTTGCCAATTTGTATGCATCAGAATCAAACTGGTGAGGAATTCTCAAGCGAAACGCCCGGCCCGCCTTAAACATTGGCCGTGGGGTGCGACAGGGAAAAGTTGTTCATAAGGAAGAGGAATGGAAGAGGCGGATGAGGAGGCGGAGGCGGAGGAGGAGGAGCAGGAAGAGGCGGAGGCGGAGGAGGAGGTGGAGGAGGAGGAGGAGGAGGCGGAGGAGGACGAGGAGGAGAAGAAGATGCCCAGGCATACAGTCGTCTGAAACCAGCGCTGATGTCGTGGGTTGGCGCTTCCCCCCCCTCTGGGCGGTGTCTTGGGCGCAGCGCGCTGCGCTCGCCGGGGGAAAGGGGGTCCAGCGCCGATCCAAGACAATTGCGCGGACGTCTGAACAAAAATGCTTACGTGTGTAGATCGGCTATTGCTTCTCTAGAGGCCTCGCGCCTCCTCTTCCCTGTCCTCCTCTTCCTCCTCCTCCTCCTCCTCCTCCTCCTCCTCCTCCCCCTCCTCCTGCCACCCCTCTTTTTAATGGCCCCCTGTCTTCGTTCGGAATGGTCGACTCCAGCGTGCGGCATTCCAGTTGACAAGTTGCCATTTTGTCAAGTCGCATTTGTTACCCAGCTCTGTGGGTGGAGTTCTCCTGGATACCCACTTACAGCACATGTTTTCCGGTCTGTCTGCGCTTCGTCCCCTCAGCAATCCTTCTTCCTCTCCGAACATATTTCGCGGTCCCAAGAAGTCTCCACTCCCCATTGACCTGCCCACAGGTGGCGGAAAGGAGGAGGGAGAATCTAGGTTTTTGGGTGAGGGGGGAAGGAGGAAGTAGGAGGCGGAATCTTCTACGGGGTCAACGACTCTCCCTCGCGATTTTCAGTGAGCGGGTTGCAGGGGGCGGGGGGGCTCGTCCACCCTCCCGCTCCTCCTTACGTCAGACCGACTAACCGCAGCCTTCTAGCGCGGGGTCAACCGCAGAGGCGGCGTGCAACAATATGCAGCCGCCCGAGGAGCAAGACAAAAGGCGGCAAGCAGCTGGAAAACAGGGAGGGGCTCACGGTGGGCGTCTGCTGTCGGGCAGTTATGCTCAGCGCGCCGCGCCGCCCAGTTCTCTGGCCCAACACGCTTTCGGGCGGCACACTCAGGATGTCTCGGTCCCCCAGCGTCAGCGTTCCGTGCTTTTTCCAGCCGGGGGGGGGAGGGGGGGGGAGGAGGGAGGAGGGAGGAGGGAGGAGGGAGGAGGGAGGAGGGAGGAGGGAGGAAGGAGGAGGGAGGAGGGAGGAGGGAGGAGGGAGGATACGACGACGACGACGACGACGACGACGACGATGACGACGAAAAGGACGACGACGACGACGACGACGACGACGACGACTCCCGTCTCGCGAAGCCGAGTGACACGCCTTCGGCCTGCAGGGCGCAGCGTGTGGCACGGGCCGCCGCCGCGGCACGGTGAGCACAGGCTTCTCGCCGCATCGGCGGCCGGCGCAGTGGTGCGGAGAAGAGGAGGGCCATCCCCTGCTGCTCCTCCTTCCCCTTCTGCTCCTCCTCCCCACCTGCTCCTCCTCCCCTTCTGCTCCTCCTCCCCCTCCTGCTCCTCCTCCCCTCCTCATCTTGCCGATGCATCGACCTCTGGCACTTCGGCCAGGAGAGGAGGCCCGCCTCCTCGCTCCCCCCCCACACAAGTGGGGCGTGATCTGCTGACGAGCCCATCTGCTACGCTGTGCTCCCCTTCACGGGTCAGGCCGAACATCCAAGGATTGGATTTGCTCTGAAGCGCCCCTATGGGAATCCTGCTGGGTGGCGCTATGTCCTTTTTCGGCCTCCCGAGTGGCGCCACGACGCTTTGCCACTTCCGTCGCCAGCAGAACCCCTTACAGCCGAGAAACGAAGTCTCATCCTTTATCGGGGTGACGCCGTCAGTGCCGATCTCGCGCGAGTCAGTCCCATCTCCTCGCTCATCCGAAGTACCAGGGTCGGGTATGCAGCATACTCCAGAAATGGGGATCAACGATGTCGGACGTGTTCCGCCCCTCCAGGATCTTGGCCCACACGGGCCCAGAAGAGGCCCTGGGTTTGGTTGACCCCCCCGCTGTCGTTTTTGGCCCTTGGGAAGTTGAAAATTGAAAACGGGACTAAGGGAAACTCGAACCGTAAAATAACCACCAAAAACGGAATGGCGCCACCGGGGAGCGGAAACGGAACCAAACCAGTTGTCGAAAACGGCGTCCGCCAGAACTTTTCGAACCCCCCGAAACGTTAATAACAAATGCACCTTGATGTTCATTGTTCCCATCCCTGTGGCCTGGATCCTGGCCACGTTCGCAAGGCAGGCGGCCGAGAACGTGCCGAAAACGCTCTGACAACGGACGGGGAATCTGGCGGGCAGGAGAGCGGCGGGGGGCTGCCCGAACCAGCGCCCGCCGCAGACGACAGCGCCTCCTTCCGCTCTGGGCACATTCTCCGACAGCGGCTGAGAGACAGACGCAAGCGGTGCCTCGCCCATTCTCGCACGAGGAGGAGGAGGAGGAGGAGCAAGAGGAGGAGCAAGAGGGAGGAGACAGCGGCACATTCTCCGACAGCGACAGTGCCTGCGCGAGACGATCGACCATTTGGGGAGATCCAGAAACGAAACAAAACATACCAGCAACTATGAAAAACGTGTGTGAACAACGGCAGCAGACATGGATCGACAAAGACGTGGCTTCTTTCGCGGAAGACGGATCTTTAACGGAGCCAAACATTTAACTAAACGTGGCATCCCAAACAAGAAAAACACGATAACAGATCGCATCCGAAGTTGGTACTCGATGCCAATACCGTCTGACAGCTATCCATAATGGACAACCGGCAGAGATGGACCCTGTGAGGGGTCCAGGGATTTGTTTGAGTGGGTGCTAGTTAGTCGGGGATCGAAGGGAATGGAGCAGAAGGGAGGCATGGGGGAGGACTGAAGAGAGAGAGAGAGAGGTTCGTTTTTCTCCACGCGTATGCCTTTTTGTTGGAAGGCCTTCCGAAGACTTTCTGGGACCTTCAGAGGCCTCGGAACGGACGGACTCATGGAACCCCCCGCAGGGGAAGTGTGATCGATGTTTTTGTCGACCACGCTGGCGCCCGTCTCGGAGAGTCTCGCGTGCTTCTGAGGGTTGGCGTCGCCAGGGCTGGACTCGGCTCGAAGAGCTGGCCAGGCTGGCCCCAGAGAGGTGTCTGGGGACTGGTTTGGCGTTGATCTTCGTGGAGGAGAGAGGGGAGGAGAAGGAGGAGCAGGATGAGGAGCAGGAAGAGGAGGACGGGAGTCTGGGGATCGAGGTTGAAGGATCGAGGCTGGAGGGATAGGATCCAGAGGAGGGGCGGGATGAGGAGAAGGAGAAGGGAGCAGGAGGAAGAGGGGAGGGAGGCACCCGTGCGAGGGAACAACCGACTCGGGTGAGCTGGCCCGAAGGCGCTTCGAAGATCATCACAGTTGAAGCCGAAGCCTAGGCTGAAGTGCAAAAAGCAGGAATGGGCCCACCCTGCTGGCTCGGTTTACAGAGTATCGCTGGGTGGTGCTGCAGCTTCCGGACAAGGAGAAGAAAGAGGTGGCAGGGTGGTTTCGTGTGTTCAGGGCTTTCTGGGACACCCCACGAGGGCTCGCTCCTCCGTGGTGCCGAGGAGGACGAAGGGACTCTGTCACCGATCTCTGCCACATCGACACCCGGATGTGGAAAGAGGCCGAAGTTCAAGAACGCCGCCGGCACCCAGATCCGACTGGAAAAAAATCGGCGTCGACGGATTGGGCCTTCCCTTTGCAATCGGGTTTCTGGGTCCGTCCAGGGGCGCTCTCTGGCCAGGATCCCGGGCTGGATCCAGCCGCGGCGACGAGAAGTGTCCCATAATACCACAAATTTCAAACAAGTAAAGAAGTATGAAACAGCTGTTGACAACAGGAACGTCGAATAAGAAACCGGCCTTCTGCAGGTGCCCCGTGGGAACGACTTCTCCCCCCAAGGCCCCCAGGGGCTCACAGGAGCAGGAGCTCTGGGGCACCCCAGGAAACGCCAAGCTCGGCGACGAACGTGCCCCTAGATTTCCTAGATCGAGATGTGTTACCTCCTACTCCTCTTCCTCCCCCTTTTCCTCTTCCCCCCCCCTCCACCTCTTCCTCCCCCGCGTGCTCTCTACCAGCTGTATCGGCACATCCTCGACAGCTGGGAGTGCCACCACGAGTTTACTTACGGCCACAATGTCTTCTTGGCGAAAGGCGACGATCCGAATGATGCGAACTTGTGTGTACGCTCCACTGGGACCACTCGCCCTTTCACGATGTCGTGCACATCCAATAAAGTCATTTCGCTTGCTCTTAACCGGCCGCTTTCGAGCATTTGCAAGTTTACGCGTATCGGCGAACAACGTGGGTTTATCGGAGGGAGAATATGAACGCAAATGTTTTTGAACTCGAGTATCGTGCTCTCCGCTGGCCATTTCAACGCCGAGCCGAGAGGACAGGCATGATTATGCACGGTTTGCGCGCAGCATTTCAGAGCTTCCTGCACGCTGCGATCTTCGCGACGTTGCGCGCCATGGGAGTTCCCGATTTTGTCGTGTGAGCAATCTGGTGTCTTTACCAGAAGGTGTGGATCTCGGTGATCTATCGTGGCCAGCATCCTGAGGTTGGATACTGGCTCCAGCGGGGCATCAAGCAGGGCTCCCCTGCCAGCGGCTCATCATTTGCGTTGGCGATTGATCCAGTATTTCGGAAGATCTGCCTCCTGTTGCCGCGGCCCTTGAGTAGTTTGGGTGCTTTCGCCGACGATGTGGGAGCAGCTCTGGCGATGTGGTTCACGCGCTCCTGGAGAGCATTCGGGTTTGGGCCCTCACTGGCCCTGCGTTGGGGCTTTTCGTGGACGTCGACAAGAGTTTGGTCGTTTTCCCCTCGGGGTGTCGGAGGCAGATGTTCTTGGCGCTCTCTTGGAGCATGGACTCCATGTTCCTGGACTTCAAGTCCGCCGACAGGTCTTTATCTTGGGGCGCATCTTGGACCTGATGGTATTACCGACTCTTGGGGTCCTGTTGTGAAGAAGTTCACGAAGTGGGCAAATCTCATTCAGGGGTTGGATCAGAGGCTCACGAAGACCACTGGGGAGTATGACTTGTTAGCGTTCTCGGTTCTCACTTTTATTGGGTAGTTCGTGGTTCTTTTTGGTAACGTCCTGGAAGCTGAGAAGGCGGGCCTCCAGAAGCTCACGATAGGCCCCAACAGTGCGATTACGGCGAAGATGCTGAAACAAGGCTCAAGAGTGTAGGCTGCCCGCTGGAGGCGAGGGACACCGAACTCACGAGCCGGGTTGCTCGATTTCGTGCTGCTGTCTATTCGCCCTCGTTCTTCCCTCTGAAGCATGCGTTGGAAGAGTTCAAGACCTCCGATGGCTATGTCACATTGTGGAGTCACGAAAGATGGTGGTGCGACAGCATCCGTTGCAGCCGAATCGATAACTGCAACAGTCTTTCTGCCATCCCTTCGATCGTTCCCTATGTCACACCATTGCAGAGGAAAGCCGAGCTCGACCTTCGTCGACTTCTCCCTCGTAAGGTGATGCTACTTTCTCAAAACCACTTGCAACGCGTGGTGTGCAACTGGACGGCTTCGGTCTGGAACCCGCAAGTGCAGTCAGTGTGGTCTTTCTGGAAGTGACCAGCTCAGGCATCTGATGTAATGTCCCAAATTCGATGCTCTCGGTATATTTCTCCCGTCGTTGGCCCCTTTTATTATGTCTTGTTGATGGTGTCTCGCGCATTTTGATAGATCGCCATTGTCCATTGCCGAATGCTGCGCTCGTGTCGGTGCTGCTGTACTTCGATATGCGGCTTCCATTCGTATCACACTCATCGCAGGAGACAGCGTAATCTCATTGCGACCGCTGGTGCTCGGCTCCGTCATGCTGCCAGCCGCCAGCCCGACCTGGCTGGTCTCATTGGGCGCGCGCCGCAGGGAATAGCGTAAGGACTCGGATTATTGCCCTATTCTCGCTCTGTTGTCCGCCTGCCCTCGTCTCGTTTTTTTTTTGGGTGAGGGAGCTCCTCCTCCTCCTCAGCCTCGTCTTCCCCTCCGCCTCCTCATCCCCCGGATGCGTCGACTGCGCCAGGAAGCTGGATGCACGCAGCGCGGCCAGCCTGGGCGAGAGCTGGATGCCCAGGCCGGGCTCCCGCGCACGCGTCTTTGGCGCGTGGCCCCGGATGCTCCGCATGCGAATGCAACCGTGCTTGCTTCCAGCTTCCCGGCGGGCTTCCGAGGGCCTCGCAGGGGAGGGGAGGTGGCAAGGGGATGAGAGCGAGCGCGGGGGGAAGGCAGAGGGGGCGAGTGAGAGGGAGGAACGAAGGGAGGTGGCTGCGGGGGAGGAGGAGGGAAGAGAGAGACGAGGAACGGCCCCAATCCGCTCGCAGTCGATCCCAAGCCAATCCCGAGGTCCATCCTGATTCGTTTTGCGGGGTGGGTTCAGCCGTTGCGACGAGAAGCCTCCAGGAGGAAGCGGGACGGAGGAGTGGAGGAGCAGGCTACCTGGCAGCCTCTGCTTTTGTATAAAGAACAAGAGAGAGAGTGAGAGAGCGATCGCCGCTGGAAAGGGCGGGCCTAGAGCTCCCGACCCCTACCCAGGGGATCTCCCAGGGGCCCGACGACGGGCCTCCGAGGCCGAAGTCGGCGACTACACAGGGTGTGTTTACGTCTTGGTGTGGTTTGCGATCGGCGCCGCTGGGGCCTGGGGCACGACGCTGTCCTCGTCGGGCCTCGGAGCGCGGCGGAGAACTCGATCGAGGTCCCCGCCCGCCTCCCAGGGTGTCCCCCAGGGTGCCAGTTGTCAACCACACCTTTGGCAGACCACACCCTGCTGAGTCGCCGGCGGGGTCGAAACAAAAAAAGTCCGCGACGGAAGAGCTCGCAGCGCCGGAGCGCTGGGAGATGTCCCTCCTCCGCCCGGAGCGTGCCGCCGGCCAGGGCGGTGGAGATCAACCGCCACGCGGCCAGGGCGCAGGCGTCGGCGGAGGGGCTCAAGGCCGCGGAGGAGGCCCTGCTGCTCGAGGCGAGGGACAAGCAGGCGCGCGGCGGCTCGGTGGCGCGGGGCGGTGACCACACCGAGTGGTGAGCCAGTGGGGGTTCGGGGCGACCGCGCGATTCTGGTAGGGGGAGGAGGAGGAGGAGGAGGAGGAGGAGGAGGAGGAGGAGGAGGAGGAGAGGAGGAGGAGGAGGAGAGGAGGAGGGGGAGGGGGAGGAGGAGGATGGGGAGGAGGAAGAGGAGGAGGAGGAGGAGGAGGGGGAGGGGGAGGGGGAGAGGGAGGGGGAGGGGGAGGAGGAGGGGAGGAGGAGGTGCAGAAGCTTCGGGTCGTTCTCCGAGGCTGTCTCGGGTAGCCGGGGCCTCCAGGGTCGCCAAACCGAGCGGTGGCGGACCGTGCGGTGAGGTCTTTGGGGGTCTCGAGGTCACCGCACGGCCTGTCATGGCACCGTCTTGGGAACCTCAACTGCACATGTTTAGTTGACATGCCATTAGTTTTAACATTACTAAATAACACATAGCAAACTATTGCCACATCGACCGGTTAAAAAGCCTCGGAATCTGTTTACATCTCAGTAAGACACATTACGTTCTCAATTCGTATGCGCAATAATCGACTCGACTACTTACTTCTAACATTTTTATATATATAGATTGAGAGAGACAGTTCACTTCACCTTCGATACGACCAATTTACTATCTCATCGAAAAATATATGCGTACTCGCTGTGATGAATCGAGACCCGAATTTACAACATAGAACCACGATTTATAGTATCACTAACTGTCTCTGTTGCATGTAATCAATTCTGCGTGCGCAATACATTGATTTACATAGGTACATATATATACACACATTTTTACATAAGCATATATATACATATATGTGTATGTTTGTATGTATGTATGTACGTACGTACGTACGTACGTATGTATGTATGTATGTATGTATGTATGTATGTGTGTATATATGTATGTATGTATGTATGTATGAGGCTGGCGCCTTGTAAGAAGCAGTCTTCTTCCTAAGAAGTATCCCCCTCTCCGCCTGCCCCCTGGCGCGCGCCGCCAAAGCTCCAGCCAAGACACGAACACCCGTCGACGAGCAGCGTGCCGGACAAGAATTGATGGCGCTCGCGGGGGGGGAGGAGGGAAAGGAGGAGGAGGAGGAGGAGGAGGAGGAGGACGAGGACGAGGACGAGGACGAGGAGGACGAGTAGGAAGACGGGGAGGGGCAGCAGGCGGAGGAGGAAGAGGAGGAGGAGGAGGAGGAGGAGGAGGAGGGGCAGGATGAGAAGGAGGAGCAGGAGGGGGAGGAGGGGAGGGGGTGGAGAGCGCGGGGTGCGGCCTTCTGCGCAGGCGGGGGGCCCTTGCAACTAGGAGCCCTCTTCACTGGGCCCGGGGGTTTCTTCGAAGCTTTCTGAGAAGCCTGCGGGGGGGGGGAGTTTCCAAGAATCGAGGCTGGAATCGACTGCCGAATTGATTTGCCCCAGAGTTGATTTTTCCTTCGGGTCCACAACACGAGTCCGTATAATGCTCCGTAGATCAACGGAACATCCTAGTATTTTTTCATAGATTCGACGAGCAGTTCAAATTTGGGGTAAATTAATGCTGTAGTGGACCCCATATTTAAAAGAAGCCACCTGCCTTCTTAGTAGGCCCCCCCGCCCTCCAGCCTCCGACGGATTTGCGTTGTGCGTCTGTTCCCCAAAACTTGCGTTTTTCTTCCACCTCGCCCTCCGAGGGCCGCTGTCGGCCCCGCTCCGCTCAGCACGCTGCTGTTTAATGCGTTGATCGAAGATGTGATGTTTGCTGTGATATCGGAATGGTTGAGGAAAGGATGGGGCTTGAAAGTGGGGCTTACAGATCTGCGACAGCTCACGAATTTACGTTTTGCTTGTGACGTATTATTTGTAATGGCAGAGCTTCGGCAGTTGAAAGCCATGCTCGCGGACATCTCCAAAGCGGCAGCTAAGGTTGGGCTCGTGTTGCATTCAGAAAGACGAAGATCTTGAGCAACGCGGCGCGAGGCACGGGACGTCCGCAAGACATGTAAAGCATGGTGGGCGACATGAAGATTTAGATCGTGCCGCACATCGGGAATGCCAAATATTTGGGACGGCGCGTGAGTTTCGATCGCCCCCACGATGTGGAGATTGACCACAGGATCCACATGGTATGGGCGCGTTTTATGCAACAGCGTGGTGATTTGAAGCTTCGCAGATATCAATCGCGCCTGAGGCTGTTTGACAGCACCGCGTCTACGAGTGTGCGTTGCAGCAGCAGGATAATTATCGATCAAGGCGCATGCGGACCAAGTAATTATTCTTCGTCTTCGCATTCATCATCTTCTGTTTCGTCTACGCGTGACAAAGGCGCGGAGTTGGAGCCTAGGTAATATTGGATTCGTAGGGCGACGAGTGGCGTTGAGCGTCACGTGGCGCGCCTGAAGCTACCAGCTCATTGGCTTGAGTGCGTGCGTTCGGAGACCGGATTTGGGGCACGTTTTGCTTCCGGCTGGGACCTTGGCGACCGCGTCTGGCGATCGGGTAGGCTGTTCAAGCGTTGGTTGGGGACGACCGAGCAATTCCAGAGCTTCAAGACCTGAAGGCGCCGAGGTGCCTCCGCGCCGCCCGTCTCGGGACGGCCTCTGGGCCAACAGTGCGCGCCCTGTCCTGTCTTGTGCTGTCCTGGGTCTGACTGGGGTTGGATCTGGAGTCGAGTGGGCCCGAGCACGGATAGGTCTGAGCGCGGTCGATGCATGGCATGAGCGGATCTCAGAACGAGTGAGTGCGCTTGAGCGAGGGGGTCTGGGCGTCACTGTATTAGATTTTGAGCATGGAGCGTCTGAGTATGAGTCCTCCTGGGGCCTCCTGGCCGCCTGGTCCATCCTGGGCCTTCGGGGCCTGTCTCCTGAGGCATCCTGGCGCCTCCTGCGTTTTCCCGGGGCCTCCTCGTCTCTCCCAGGAGCTCTTGTGCTTTCCTGGAACTTCTCGGAACCTCCTGGGAATGGTGGGTCCTATTGGCCCTCCTGGGAACCCTTGGATTTTCATGCGACGGCGCCCCCGCAAGCGTGAGGTTGCTGTCCCAGGATTCTACGGTCACTCCGGAGTCTGGGGCCTCACGGGGCATGTTCTTGACTCGTGTGGGCCCCTGGCGACTTCTGCGACTTATGGGGCCTCCGTAAGCGTCGACCTCTGTGGGGTTCTACGCGGGGGGGGCTTCCGCAACCGCGAGTTCAGTATGCATTGTTTGCAGGGCGGCATTTGGCATAATGAGTTTTCTCGTGGAGATACACAGGGCGCCCTCCGCAAACGTGAATTTACCTTTGGTTGTATCCTGCAGGACTGTGGCAGACTTGAATGTACAGGTGATGATATGTGAGGCAGCCTCCGCAACCGCGATTGTCTGCACATCGTGTTATGCAAGGGGGGCATACACGTACACCCACGTAGGATCCGACGAGGCCCGCTGTGCCTTTACCCCCTCGTCGACACCCCCGTGGCGGCCGAAGTGCGATGCTTGCGAAATCGCGGTGCACATGAGGCTCCGAATGAAAGCGCGCCCCCCTGTTCCCGACGACGTCCTGAGCCGGGAGATCCCACCAACCCGGGCGCGAACAGCGCCGCGGGACACCCCTGGTGGACGTCGGTGCCTGCGCGGCTGGCCTTGCAGGCGACCGAGGTCACGAGGTACGACAGGATCACGCCGCGTCACCGCGGCGGTGATCCCAGCCCGGGCGTTCAAGGTTGAACGCCGCCAGTGGCCTAGTAATTTGTCGGGCGATCCGCGCACGGCACGAGCATGCCGCAATCAGCAAGGTGCTTGTCCACGGAGCTCTGGCAGCATGGAACCTCCGCAATCCGTTGAGAAGAACCAAATAGCATAATAATTGAAAACCATCGCTGAGCATCTCCTCCGCCCTCCTCCTTCCGCCGGCGGCTCAAGACAGCAGCAAATTGGTGACGTTTCAAACCAGCTCGCCAATTTCATAAATTAATGTTTGTGGCTTCGTTCATGGAGGCTGCATGTGGACATGGTTCGTTCATCGCTGCCCGCGCGTTGCGTTTGCTAGCTGCTGAGGTCAGGAAAACAGTACTCAGGTCTGAGTTGCGCTGTTTCTGTTAGCCGACAGGTGCTGCGTTCGCCTACGAGGCGCCGGCTGCAGCACGCCGCCCCTTCTTTTCAGTTCCTCCGCCATCACAGTGAACCTCGGGAAGAGTATCTATTTCTGGCTTTGGAAGATGAGCTTAGACAGGTGCACTTCGGGCATAGCCAGGACCCCGGGGGGCCGGGGGCCCCGGGGGCCCGTCAATTGGCAGGGCCCGGGGGCCCCTCAATTGGTCAGATTCACTGAGCCAGATTTGCCGTAACTGGTGTTTTTCGGGTGCCGGCAGTTCCAGCTGGTGGAATTGGGGCGGGGGGGCGCCCCCGGTGCAAATCATTAAACCAGGATCCACAAAACCCAGTTCTGCCAGCGCCCGAGTATTCCGGAGGCGAGGTCCAGCCGCAGGTTCAGGCCTGGCGGGCACGCTCGCCCACGGGGCGGGAGTAGCAATGGTCTCAAGGAGGATGCGGCTAAATTTGGCCCCGCCTCGTCCCCTCCAGGGCCAGTCACCGGTTTTCCCGCGCCAGGAATCGTCCACATCCCGCATCTATTTGTTGCATCACGCGAAGCAGGTTTGCGCTGCACAGCTGGCGTCGCGCAGTGGACTGGTTGAATTGCCGAGCCGTGCAGCCGGCGTGCTACAAGGTCTCGTCGAACGGGCGGGTCCCCCTGGAACCTCTGCTGTTTCGGGGGCGCCTTCGTCGGGGTCGGCATGCACAGACTCACGTGCCAGCGCGCCCGGGGAGGGGGGCCAGCAACATTCTGCGGGCGATTATTGCCCAGACTTGGTCTCCATGAGGCAGGACATCGCAGGACTGCCCTTCCAGATCGACCGTAAGATTGTGGGCATTGTAAAGGACATTACAGGCGAGCTGCCCATTTTGGTCAAGAAGCTGTTCGATGTTCTGAAAGTCGCTGATCTGGCAGAAGAGCGCCTTGGTGGACAACTCAAGGAGCTCAGGGCTAAGCTGGAGTATTCAGCTCGTGACGTACACGACTTAAGCGACAAGGTCGCGCGCACTTGGAGATTCCAGCGTCTGCGCTTGGTGGTGCGCCTTTTTCGCGCGAAAGTGTTCGCGCAGCAGGGCGGGCGGATTCACCGATGGCGATTGCGCGCGGACGTTCTCCTCATTTGCGGCTGTGCAGGTATGGGAAGCAATGCAGAAGGAGCGATTGCATTGTCCTCCACCTCCGCCTCCTCCTGCTCCTCCTCCTCCTCCTCCTCCTCCTCCTCCTCCTCTTCTTGCTGCTCCTCTTCCTCCTTCTCCTCCTCCTCCTCCTCCTCCTCCTCCTCCTCCTCATCCCCATCCTCATCCTCATCCTCATTATTATCCCACTCTCGCGCGTTGAGGTGGCCCTATCCCAAGGTGCCCCCAGTTTTGCCCACCATTCTGGGGTCCATGGGGCCCTCTGGGCCTCGTGAGGGGCGCCCTGGAGGCCCTGTGGGTTCCTCTAGAGCAGCTGGGGCCACCTTGGGCCAGAGGCACCTCTGGCAGCCTCCAACAAACAAAGTGGCGGCCATCGCGAGCGCGACGCCCCGGTACATCGACGGATGTTGCCCAGTATATCTGGACCGCGTGCCATGCGTCCATGGCCAGAGCACCGGGGCCCGGGCCCCAAGCTGGAACAGTCGGATTCCCCCCGCCCCTTTCCAGCAACCCCCCCTTACGCGGCCTCCTGGGCTTCCCCCCGCGGCTGCGTAAAACAGTTCCGGAGAGCGCAACTCAGCGACAAAAGCGGCGCAATAGGCAATCGGTCCCAAGACGCCCCAAAATGCCATCAAGACGGCCGGAGAGCCCCCGAGAGGCCCCCAATGCGCCCCTCGAAGTAAGTCTCCCAAGTGTTTCCCAAGAGGGCCCGGGATGGCTAACATTGCGTCGCTCTTGTCGTAACGCATCCATGGTTAGTATGGCATTTGTTTCAGGCGGTCATAGCGTCCAAGACGGCCCAGGAGGCCTCCAAGATCGCTCCAAGACGGCACAAATTACGAGGCCCCTAGGACGCCCCAAGGGAGTTGCAATATAGCCCAAGAGGTGCCCGAGACGGCCCAAGAGGACCCCAAGATGAGTCCAAGAACGGAAATTCCAACTGAGATTTCTAGCCTTCCGCCACAAGTGGCCCCCCGAGGCCACCAGCGGGCCTCCAAGAGGCTCCAAGGGTTTCAAACGAGGCTTCAATTGGCTCCCACACGGCTCCCAAGAGGACCCAACGCTTCCGCAGCTATTTTGGCTCAAGGCACGTAGCCTATTCGTCTCCAGCCCAAGCAGAGAGCACGCATCGCAAACGCTTGCACGTTTTTTCGACCCTTTTGGTTTCGGGCGACTTGAGCTTGACCGTATGATGCAGTTGTCGAAACAGGCGCTCCTACCCGTCTTCTGCTCCGCCCAACCAGCCACCCCCCTCAACCGGAGCCGCAACAATGACCAAGAGGCGAGCGACCAGAATAGTCGCATCATTGTGAGCGATCCTAGCCCATGCGAGTCGTCCACGTTGTCTCATGGCAGGAAGATCTTAAAGACTACCTCTCACAATACAGGCGTGACTGGTTCCACCATCCCCTGACTAAGGCGCGTGTCTCTTTGTCTCTGCGCTCACGTCCTCTCTAGAGTCTAGATACGGCTGCATGGCCCCGCTTCAGTTTCTCATCCGACTCCGGCTCACGTTTATTTCTCCGACTCCCCTCCCCGCCATTCGGAATGAATTTCGCCGGCGCCGCGGCCTGGCCCGTCTTTAATCTGGGCCTCTTAGAATCTGGTTGAAGTAATCAGACGGGGTCGGAGGATCGCACCGCATCGGCGTTGCATCGGCGTTCGGCGCCGGCGTGGGGCGGTGGTATCCCGACGCCACTGCGGGGTTCTTCGCGATGACAAGCCGAGGCTGCGCGGGGCAAGTGCTTGAGATTCCAACGCCGTCGCGCCGTAGGTGGGGTGGTGTCGTCTCGTTTTTGGTCCATCGGCGACGCGGCTCGATGTGGAGCTTGATCTTCTCCACGCTGATGGCGCCGATGCCTCGCCGACGTCGCCGATGCATCGCCGACGCGGCGCAAGCCCCCGACCCCATCGGCTCGGGCCCCGTCCAGGAGGCCTCCGCTCTGGGCCCCGGTGCGTCCCCGCGCTGCCCTCGTAGGGAATTAAGTCGGGCGCATCCCTCTGCAGGAGACGTGTTCAAAAATAGCGGAAAAAGATTCAGGGGAAGTTTTTTTATTTTTCACTGGAAAAAACGTTTGGGCATTTCTATGTCTTTCTCTTTCTCTTTCTCTCTCTCTTTCTCTCTCTCTCTCTCTCTCTCTCTCTTTCTCTCTTTCTCGTCCAAAATCCGCCTGTAGGGGGACATGCCCGACTTAATCGCAGGGCCAGTCAACCGAGCCGACCGCGCGCGCTCGCTCGGTCTCGCTCGGGCGCGCAGCGCGCCAGTCGTTAACTGCCCCCCTCTCTTTGTTGGCGACGCCCCTACACGCGGTCCACGAGGCGCGCGTGATATTCAGGCCGAAAAGGCCTTTTCCTCCTCCTCCTTCTCCTCCTCCTCCTCCTCCTCCTCCTCCTCCTTTTCCTCCTCCTCCTCCTCCTCCTCCTCCTCCTCCTCCTCCTCTCCTCTCCTCCTCCTCCTCCTCCTCCTCCTCCTCCTCCTCTCCTCCTCCTCCTCCTCCTCCTCCTCCTCCTCCTCCTCCTCCTCTCCTCCTCCTCCTCCTCCCTTTCCTCCTCCTCCTCCTGCTCCCATTCCTCTCCTCCTCCTCCTCCTCCTCCTCCGCCTCCTCCTCCTCCTCCTCTTCCTTCCCCTCTTCCTTCTCCTCCTCCTCCTCCTCTTCCTCCTCCTCCTCCTCCTCCTCCTCCTCCTCCTCCTCCTCCTCCTCCTCCTCCCTCTCCTCCTCATCCTCCTCCTCCTCCTCCTCCTTCTCCTCCTCCCCCTCCTCCTGCGCCCGTAGTTTCTGATCGTGGCTCGTGATTTCTAGTCGTGGCCTGTGGTCAATGGTCATGGCCCGTGGTCCCTGGTCGTGGCCTCGAGTCGCGGACCCCGCCCCGCGTCCCCCAAGGCAGCGCGGCGTGCTCACAAGGACCATGGTGGTCCACCAAATTACACGACGCCCCAGAAGACGCCTGGGGAGTGGACAGCGACGTGGGCCAAAGACGGCATGGAGTGGAAGGTCGCACTTCAGTCAACTGCCAGAACCCCCATCCCCCAGAGATGGCGAAGACGAGGAGGGAGATGAAAGGAGGGAGGGGGAGGGGGATGGGGGGGAGGAGTGACGAGTAGCCGGAGGTGGAGACGGAGGAATTTCCGAGCGGCGGGTACGATGAGGCTGACGAGGTCACGCTCATAGGGGTGATCATGGCGATGATGCAAATTGTGTTGATTACTCCTATTATGGCGGGGGGTGGAGGATGATGGAGAAATCGTTCAGGGCGAGGAGGGGGGGGAGGCGGAGGAGGGGAGGAGGAGGAGGAGCGAGGAGGTGCAGGATGAGGGGGAGGAAAGAGGAGGCGAGAAACATTTTAAAGAGAACAGCGGAGAGTCGTGCGCCCGCAGGTCCCAGTGGGCGCGATCAGCCCCGAGGAGGAGACAGACGCCACCAGCTCGAACATTCCGTGGGCAGGCCAGCTCGACGGCTCGAACTTATCTGCACGAATAGTAAAAAAAGGCGAGGAGCAGTGGTTACAGATCTGGCAGGCCCCGAGAAAACATATCCTACAGCTCATCACGACAGATATGGAGATGGGGAAAATGGTTGGTAGATGCAGCAAAGAGATATTGCAAGGGTGAATCTACGAAGAGTGAGCAGGAAGCGGCGAAAAGGGAGAAGTTTATGGTGCCCAGGACAAGACCAGCAGCCGCTGCTTTGATGAAAAAACAATCCGCTGTGACGGACACGGAGAAACCTGCCGAGGCGCCGAAGGAGACGCACGGCGAGAGCGAGCCAGGGGGGCCAGACGAGGATGCCGAGGATGACGATGGCAACGACGCCAGCAACGAGGAGGCCGAGGAGGCCGAGGAGGAGGAGCAGATGGAGGGGGAGCAGATGGAGGTCGACGAGCCCGAGGCCACGGTGATGAAACGCCCCGCGGCACGCTCGAAGCCGGCGGCCGCGCCCCCCGCCGACGAGACGGCTGGCGCGGCGCTGCCGGGCGCGGCCGCAGGCAGCCACGGCGCCGCCGCAGGCGCCGTCGCAGGCCGTCATCGACGGAGCCGGCGCGGTGCCCGCGGCGCCCGCGTCGCCGCCTGCCCCACAGGTGCCGCCGTGCGGGGAGATCCCCGTTGGCTTGTTTAGTCTGTTTTAGGTGGCGACGCACTCAGAGATTCAAGCTAGTTTTCAGATTCGTGTTCGAGAGCAGTGTTCGGATCAGTCTTCTGTGTTGAAAGAGTGTGTCGCGCCGCAGCGAGTTGTATTTCTTTCAATGGCGCCTCGGGCTCTCGCTCGTTCTTGCCGGCGTTGCTCGGGCCGGCGATCTCCCAGCGATCTCCACCGCGCCCTGGCGGGCGAGCTGCCCCCGGAGAGATGGTTGATTCAGAGCCGCTGGCGGCGAGACTTCGGAGGTGAGGAGGAGGGCGAGGAGGACGAGGGGGGGGGCGAGGAGCAGGAGAGAAGGGGGAGGCGGAGGAGGAGGAGGGCGAGGAGAGGAGGGGGGCATTCGAACACACATGCGCACATGCACGCACGCACGCACCCGCGGCTCAATGCGCACGCGCGCGCGGGGTCGAGAGCTGGATGCCCCTCCATAAGCTAACATATCTCCGCCATATACTCGTCTTAGGAGCTCCTGACTGCTGCCCCTGGGGTGATGGGGCCCCGCATTCAGTTGATTGCGTTGCGTTGCGTTGCGTTGCGCTAAGGCTGGCCCATCATCAAGTTCATTGCACTGCGCGGCGTTGCATTGTTGCGCTAAGGCCGCTGGGTCGGGGGCCAGCTCCGATCCAGCAGATCCCTCATCGAGTTGTTGCATTGCGTTGCGTTGCGTTGCCAGGTGGATCGGGGGCCAGCTCCGATCCAGCTCGGGCCTGGCCAACCCCTCCCTCCTCAGAGCGATTCGTGCTCGAGCTGCCGGCGGGCCTTGAGGCGTGGAAGCCAACGCCCGCAGATTGGTTGCTGGAATACCCTCGTCGGCAAGATGTCGGGCGCTGGGCAGGGCTCTCGGATGTGCGCTGATGCGAGCACGGGGCCCCTCCTGGCACGAGCTGTGGACGCCGCTGGCACCTTCGACGGCGAGTCGCAGGCGTCGGAGGCGACGACTGCGACAGTTGTCGACGACGGAGTACCCTTGGCCCAGCTCGTCCAGCGGGCGAGGGGGGCAGAGCAGAGGGCGGCGCACTTGGAGACGCTCGTCGCCACCCAGAGGCAGTGGATGGACGCCGCCGCAGACCGCCTCGAAGCCGTCGAGGCAGCGCCTGCGTCTGCGGAGGCGCGCGCTGCGCCTGCGGGGCCGCCCCGGCCCGCGGAGCTGCCCCTGCGGGGCCTCATCCGCCCCAGCCCGCGCAAGGCCGGAGACGGCAGAGCAGGCGGGGGGGGCGCTCCAGCCCGAGGGGCCGCAGCCGCTCCAGCCCACGGAGCCGAGCCACGCGGCAAGGCCCGAGACGGCAGAGCCGGCGGGGGAGGCGCCCCCGCTGGCGGAGCCGACGGGCCCCGCGGAGCTGGCGGCGCCAGCGCAGCTCATCGAGGTCACCGACAGCAGCCCCGAGCAGGTCAGGGGCGCCGACGCCCTCGCGGATCCCCAGGCGGAGCAATTGAAAGCTGTCATGGCTGAGTCGCAGGCGCTCGCAGACCAGGGGGCCAAGACGCTGGCGGAGAACGAGGAGGAGGTGGCAGCCGCCATTGCGGAGTCGCGGGCCATGGCAGAGAAGCAGGGCATCGAGATCCCCGACATCCTGCCCAACCGCGACATTCGCTCCTCCTGGCAGCCAGCACCTGGCGGCGGCAGCCCTGCAGCAGGCCCAGATGCCCCTTCCTGGCCGCGCGACCGCTGCCCCACCGCGTCAGATTTGGAGGATTGGGCAGCGCAGTGGCGCCAGCAGAAGCAGGGCGTCGCGAGCGGTGCGTCGGTCGTGCCGATTGCGCCAGGGCAGCCCCGGAGCTCCCACGCGGTTGGCCCTGTCGTGTTTCTGGTCAGAAGCTCGGTCTTCAAGGCCGTGCATGCTACGACGCTGTGATCAGAGACTTGCGCAGCTCGAAATACTTTTATTTCGAGAAGGGATGCATCCGTGCCAATGCCCGTGGGGCATGTTGGACCCAGGAGAAAGCCTTGTCCCTCGGATACCAAATCCCCGAGGTCCGTTGTTCTCTGTGTGGCGGCCCTTCGGATTCGATTTGGCACAGGTTATGGGTGCGCCCTGCGTTAGACGATCTCAGGAAGGAGCTTTGTGATCCCGAAGTGTTGCAGGCGAGTTCCGAGGTGGACCTAGCCACCGTCTCGAACGACCAGTTCGTGCTGTTCACGAAAGGGATCTTCACCCACCCCAGCGAGCACCTTCCGATGCCCTCCAGAGAATGCCCCCCTATGGTCCATTGGGAAGCTCCTCGGCATGATGATTCGGACGAGCAGTTATTCTCTGGGAGTGTTTTCTTCGACGGATCATGTAGGAAGCGCGCAATTAAGGAACTCAGCAGGGCAGGATGGGGTTTAGCTGCATACGATAATAATAGGGATTTGCAGTGTGTCATGTGGGCCCCCCTCTGGGACAGGTCCCCCCAGACCTCCCAAGCGGCGGAGTTTGGGGCCCTGGCCTACGGGTCTCTTTGCCTCCTTGGGCCCTCTGCAGGTTTCAGCGACTGTCTCAATGTTTGCAAAGCTTTTCTTTTGGAGAGGCCCAAGCGTCTCTCCTACAAGCGACCGTGCTCTGGGTTAATGATCAATACCCTTCAGTCTAAATTGACCAGTCTTCACAAGGCGAAGGCCCACGTGGCGGATTCCCCAGATTTAACGGCCGATCAGCGTTTTTTTCAAGCTTGGTAATGACGAGGCCGACAGAGCGGCCAAGCGAGGAGCGAACATGCATGCCAGAGGTTCTCAGGCCGTACTGGATTCTGTTGACTGGCAACTCAAGGTTGCCAAGAGCGTCGGCCTGCTGGAAGCCCGTCTCCTCCCGTATTGGCCTAGACTCAACCGTGACGGAGTTGATTTTATCGCCCCTGCCCGTGTTTTGGGGTTGCCGCCCCCTCCTTCGGAGCAGTATCATCATGAGTGGTTGTGGTGTGCCGCGTTCTGGCGTTGCAGTGTTTGTCTCCGCAGCCGCGGACAGTCTGTGAAGCCTGATCTTTCAGGGTGCTCGGGCCAGCTCCCTGACGCGGCCCTTTCCACACGGGGTAAGGGCCACGCTATCACGGCCCTTCTCTGTTCGAATCAAAGCATGCTTTATGTTTGTCATCTCTGCTGCGGGCGCAGCTGCGGTGGTAGATTCAAGAAGCTCAGTAAGTCTTGCATCCGAGAGCCCGAGAGGCCCAGGAAGTCAAAGTGCGCGCCCTTGGTCCTGAGGGCGCTGCGGAGGGGGAGACATCCCAGGCTGGCTGGAGTATTCTGTGAAGTGTTTGACCCTGCCGCCGAAGCGAGCGAGTCTGAGGCTGTCGATCGGGCCGAGCCTGTCGGGCCTTCTCAGGCCTGCAGACCGCTTCGGGGGGAGGGTGAGCACGCTCCAGACCAGCATCCCCTTTCAGACAGCTCGGACTGACCGCATCAGGCGGGTAAACTAGTCCGAGTTTTTCTCTTAACTCAACCCGAGCTGGCTCGGGTTCAGGGCGCCTGTCAAAAAACCACGCGGTTGGCCCCGGCCAGGCCGCGGCCCAGGCAGACAGCATGAAGGGCTCGCAGAGCGGCAGCGCGGACGAGGGTCCTGCAGCTGGCGGCAGCCAGGTCCGCGGGGAAACGCTGTCTCCCCTGTGCACTCCTCCGCCTTCCTCCTCCACCTCCTCCTCCCCCCACCCCCCCCACCCCTCCGCCCCGCCCCTCTCCCTTCCCCCCCCCCCTCCTCCTCTCCCCATCCAGCGCTTGGGGCGAGCGGCGCGGGGTGGGGGAATAATCCCTTCGACGTCGAGCGTTGAAGTGCCCTCTCCGCTCGGCGCCTCAAACGCTCGGCGTCGAAAATGCCACCCCAATCGACCCCGCGACGCCCGCCCGCCCTCGCCCCGCAGCCGGCGCGCAGCAGGTCTTCGGGTTCGAGACGCCGCCGAGGCGCGCCAATCACCGCGTGGGCCAGATTGAGATGCGCGCGCAGATGTACGAGGAGCTCGGCAGCGCGAGCGATTCTCCAGACACCCAGCGGGGCCCGAGTTAAGTTAAGTGGGAGACGTTTCGGGGCGATTGTCGGCTTGAACTTGGAGGCGGGTCTAGCCGTGGCGACGAGGGGGGGAGGGGGCGGCCCCCTGGGGGCCCAGCAAAGAACATGCTTATATTTTTGCATATCATGCTCCTCGTCTTCATCCCCATCCTCTCCTCCTCATCATCCTCCTGGTTGCCCCTCCCTGTCCTCGCCCTGCTCTTCCCCCCCCCCCCCCCCTCCCCCCTCCTCCCTCCACCGAGCCCCCCGTCGGCTGCCGATCCGAAACCGTTTCTGGAGCCACAGGGGAGAAGTTGCAGACGTGCCACTACGTGGACGAGATGGGCATTCACCAGATGCTCGTGGACGCCTTCCACTGCACCGACATCAAGGCGCCCCACGCGGCCAGGGGGATGCGGTGCGAGGACATGCTACCAGCGGCGCGCGGCCTGCGCAACGTCGACTCGCAGGTCTTCACGATGCCAGACAAGACCAGCGCGGTCGCGCCCGAGGTGCCGAAGGAGTCGCAGTCGCAGCTGGGCGCCATCGATACGACTGGCTTCGACGAGAAGCAGATGGCCGAGCTGATCGCGTTCAAGTCTCTGGAGGCTGGCGGCTTCAACTTCAAAATCCGCAGCGCTGCGGGGAACCCGATCGGGTCGAGGTTCACCCGCGCCAAGGATTCGGACAAGGCCTCGGCGCAGGCCCGCCGCGCACTGATCGGCTCGCCAGCCGGCCAGGAGGCCTTCAGGCGCGACTGGGCGCAGAAGAAGATGATGAACTACATCGGCGCCATGAGGGGGCGGGCGGGCATCACCCGCTCGAGCTACAAGAAGGGGCAGTGCATGCCGCTGGGCCGCGTGGCTCACAAAGAAGGCGGAGGCAAAC